TGTGTGTGTGTGTGTATGTGTGTGCCTGGTTCCGACTACATGTAACGCACTCTGCTCATTACCTTCTCCGAGACCAGTCAATGCAAACCACAGACTATTTCAAATGAAGCAGGTTGGTTCGAGACACTGAATCCTCATAATGTTCATGTGCATTGTAGTTTCGAGTAGTGTTGTAGGGGCGTCGTATCGCAAAAAGAGCAAAAAAAAGAAACGGAAAAAGAATGGCACCTTATCATACACATAAACACACACACACACACACACACACACACACACACACACACACACACACACACCCACACACCCACACACACACACACACACACCACACACACACACACACACACACACACACACACACAGACACACACACCACAAACATATACATATATATATATATATATATATATATATATATATATATAACTGAAGCATATACATCATGCATTGAATGGTAGGACTTAGATCCTTCCCTCCGCACTTTAAAGGGGACGTGTTTTAAAAGCAAACAGGCTTACCTTCTGCAGGTACTTTAATTATCTCCGTTTGCTGCAGCAATACTGTAATCTCGTTGAGAGCCGAACACCAACTGGCTGGATGCCCTGGTCCCTGCGTCTGAAACTCATAAAAATGTCCCGCCTCCCCGTTGTAGAGGCGTCACCAGGCTGCGGTGGGTGAGGCAGAGGTAAACTTTCTCAATATCGTTGAATACCAAGCACGTGAAGTGCTCATAAGTAATACACTATGAGAGCGAGAAGCTATCCGCAGTCACCACACCCGCGTTCCACTGGCCTGAGCCCAGCCTCTGCCTGGCGGCGCCTCCCCGCGCCTCGGGGCCCGACGGAACCGCCCCTGCTCCGGCCGGGCCGCCGCTCGGCTGCCCGACGGCTCTAGATGCGTATCGTCTTATTTGTACAGCATTGTCTGCAAACAGGATTAACGTGACGACAGAAAGTCGACGGTCGGCGTCGTCGGCCAGACCCACCGGCTGTAATCAGCTGCTGCGTCGAGAGGTGAACAATGTCCCCGCTAATACCTTAATGCGAACGCGGATCAACGGGTTGAGATAGAATCTCGGTCCTGCTGGCCGGTCGGCCCTTTACTGGAGCAGACGCCGCGGTCTCTCGCCCCGTTGCGTCTGAATCGATTAGGCTCTTATCGCATGTTTCAAATCGTCCCAACTCATGAGGGTGTTAAAATATTAATGCCTTTCATGAAAGGCCTAATTCGTCCTGACGTGCGACGGGTTAATGAATGCAGTTTTTGTAGTTATGAACACAGCGGCGGGCACCATGCGGCGCTGCTCTCAGACCTCCACTCACGGCAATCTCGTGCTCTGCTCACCAAGACTCGACGTCGGCGTTGTATGTGTCGTGTCCACACCGCCACCTGGCCCCCCTGGGCCGTTTGAGCACGCACTGAGGGGCGTTACACTTATCTACGAAATAACCTCCACAACAAGCACCTCCAAACATGGTATGACAATTTTCAACAGCGCAGAGGCTGTATATCAGAATCAATCAAATGCTGGTTTCAGTAAATAAAGCTGCACGCGTTCTGCTGGGCTGCATGCATCATCACTGCAAATCATTATGTTCCCGAAAAACTATCAATAAAAGGATTAGGTCAACCAAGACGCTGTTTCTTGTCTCAACAAACACTGCGTCGTGGTATCTTCTGCTTCGCGCCTGGTTCGCGCACCACCTGAGAACATACATCTGACACAGAGAACGGTCCTTCAGCTCATCAGTCATTTCAATGCTTGCTTCTACAGATCTTTGGCCTTATCACGAGCCGTGCAGGTCCCGTCTGACGCATCACGCGTCAGACGTCAGCCATACATTTAAACGATTCTAATCTAGCGCGCATCACGCATTAACACGCGTTCGGATGGGGAATCAAACTGACTTCACCTCCGAAGGATTTTCCGGAATGGTGTCCGAACGGTGCGGTGTAGCCGCGCCAAATTTCGCATAGCTGTAGACAATTAAATTAGCGGATCGTTGTGAAATCGCAAATTTAGATGTTCCTTGCAAGGTTGCGCTGTCGAACGGCAGGTCAAAGTGGATTCAGCGAAGTCAATTTCTAGAGAATCGTTTATTCTGATGCAACAACTGAGTGTTACACGAAGCCATACATCTCTGAGATACTTTGTTAGGCAACACAACAATTGAATAAACAAATTCCATTGACCTAGGGTCAGGTTTGATGGTCAAACCAAGGTCAAAACCAACCTACTGTATTACTGTAACGGCTTGCTGTATGGGGGGGGGGGGGGGTGGGGGGGGGGGTTCTGGTGCTCATTTTACAATTGATTGATAACAAGAATGACATCATGTTTTAGGAGCATACTGCCTAGCGTAACCTTGGTCGTTCATTCAAATGGAAGTCTCAAAACAAGCCTTGTATGATTTTCGTCATTATGACCTTTAAAAGGTTAAATAAGGTCACTGGCCTTCAATGAGCATGTGACCTTTCCTTTAGCACAGATGTCTGGTTTCTGGGGGCACTTTGGAGACCAATCTGGAATTTGGCCTTGCTTGACCCTATTTAACCCGAAGGTCATACTCTAGGAACCTTAAACTATAGCCTAAGTGATTTTCGTGCAGTACAATTTAGCGTCTCTAGCTCTCTTAGTTCCTGGAATCTCACGGTCAACTTGACCTTCCAACCGAATGATATCCAAGCTTATCCAACCGGCCACCCGAGCGCGTGTTAAGGCACTAAGTATATCCACATAGTTCACTATGGTGATCCCTGTACGTTGAGGTCTGGTCGCCGACTTCTTATAAGAATGGATTTACTTACTTTTCTGTCTGGATGGTCCTGCGCTTTGTAGATGACATTGAGCTCTAAAAGGGGTTTAGACACCGACTTCCCTAGATTTCAGCCTCAATGTGACTTATCAAGAAACTTTCGCCGAAAGGGTTATTATCTGTTATGTTCTTGGTGTCTTCCAGATGCTCACTGTATTTCGCTATTTCAAAACAAACCCTGATATCGAATGGGATCCGCAGGAAATTTGAAATTTATTTCTAACATTCGTTTCGATGAAGGTATATAGCCGAGATATCAATGCATCTTTCCCTCCCTTCTCCTGGTAATTTTACGAGGAATAGGACTGGCAGTGCTGTCCTATCCCTAAGCATGATGATCCTTAGAAATGTATTCAAAAACACACGTATGCAGATTTCCGGATGCTTCAACCCTTTTGGACGGCATTTTGGAGCGGGTTCGGGTTTTCACACTCATGGCCGCACCTACCTTTGCCCTCCCCCACCCCGAAAAGGGCCAGTGTCGGATCCGGGATTTGTTCGAGGAGACCATACCGGCCAAGAGAGGAAGAGGCCCCTGAGATTTCGGTGTACCCTCCGGAACCCAGAATGGTTATTCTAGCATAATAATGTATAATTCATAGCACATAAGAAACTGAGCGCTACTGTTTTCGAGGCCCAGGGGGGGGGGGGGGGCATAACCTCGTCACCCCTAATCTGGCTGCGTCACTTCTTCAGTTCTCGATGAGCCCGGGGGCGCTGGAACTGTGTTCAAGTTGGAGGGGGGGGGGGGGAACTGCCAAATGCCAACATGGCCCCTAAGATCAGATAGTGGGCCCCCACAAGTCCAAATGGGCTATTTATAGTCAGTAATGGGCGCTCTAACGGGTCAACACGGGCATATACGAGTCAAAATGGCCCTGTGCAGAATACGTTAGGCGCTCGACAGCCGACGATGGGCTCTCTACAAGTTAGAAGGGGCTCAATACAGGTCAGAATGAAATCTCTACGAATCAGAGTGGGCCTCGTTAGGTCAGAATAGGCTCTTTGCAGGCCATAATGACCCTCTACAGTCGGTAATAGGCATTCCGCAAGCCAGAATCGGCAATCCACGTTCAGGTCAGAATGGGGCCTCAACATACCGGAATGATGGAAGCTTTAGTCGATATCGGGCCCTCTACGAGCCTGAATGGGCCCCTCTCCAGGTTAGAATGAGCCAGGTACAGGCCAGAATGAGCCCTCGAAGTTAATAATGAACCCTCCACAGCTCATAACATCCTCTACAGGGCATAATGGTCGCTCCACAGGTCAGAATGAAAGAAGGCTAGGTAGGTCATTAAGGCTAGAAGGCTGGAGGCAAGGAATAAAGGAATGGTAGAGGGCTAGATAGGTCATTTAAGTCAGAATGGGCTCTCAACAGGCCAGAATGGGCCCTTCGGTCAATAACGGCCGCCTGCAGATCAGAATCGGTTCTCTACATTCTCAGAAATACATTCTTTTGGTCAGAATGGATTTTAAATAGCGCAGAATGAGCCCTGGACAGGTCAGAATGAACTTTTGCCGGATTACATAATTCCTTTGAAATTCAGAATGAGCCCTCAGCATATCAGAATGGGCCCTTCACAGGCTTCCAAGTTGGGGAGGCGAGCTGCCCCACTTCCCACCCTTCCCCCCTTCCGGGTCCCGCGTCCCTGGGTGAGCCCCTTGAATTTATGTTGCCCAGGATGCATAAAGGCCGGCAAGAGGCAATGCTGGTGAAGGGTCCTCTACAACCGGCAGGAGCCATATAAAGCCGCCAAATGCCCTCTACAGATCGTCAGCCCTGCAGCCCTGAATGCTGTAGAGGGCCCTTACAGATCGGTAGGGCCATCTAAATGCCGATAGGGGCTCCTGCAGGTCGGCAGACCGTATACAAATACCGGCCGAGGCCCGCAGCAGATTGGCAGGGTCCCCTAAAGATCAAAGGCCAGAGGGGCCCAATGGCCTCCAGGGAGGGGAGGGATGGTCCCTTCGGTCCCGCTTGATTACGTCATGTATGGCAGCGCCGCACAGGCCGGGCGCCAGGTCCGACAGCCCTGCATCCGCCAGCTGACGGCGGGCCGGCCACTCACCCCCGACGACAGGCCCCCCCCCCCTCAGATGGCAGCCGAACGCCGCGTGACGCGGGCCCCAAGGTCAGGCCCCGCCGGCGGCCGCGGCCGTCGCTTCCCGCAATCAGACCGGACGGGGATCTGGCGCCGCGGAGCCAGGTCGCAGAGCTGGTGGGCCATGGCGCTGCCTCTGAGAACGTCGCTGACGCTGTGTTTGGCGCCGCGGAGTCGGGCGTTCAGCGTGTCCGCCGCACAGCAGGCAAACAGCGCGTGAGTATGCGGCCGTCCCCAGCCGCTGATGAGTAGCGTGGAGGGTCAGCACGGTGCGACAAGACTGCCGCGCGTGCTGACGAGCGCGAGGCATGTGAGCGCTCGTTCACGGTCAATTGCACGCGCGGCCAATTGTACTACGCATCGAAATGGGGAGCCATCTAGTCCGGGAGTTGGCTTACGTGCACCTGTTACGCTATTTACCCACGTCGCGCATAACCACTAGTGTGAACCACGGTGCGAACGCTTCTGGACCACTGTGAACCACAGCGTTTCCCCTTTGGTGGACTCCTGGCGCGAGACGCCCGTGTCCCCGCTCCCCTCCCACACGCTGCACGCCGTGCCTCCAGATACAAGCTGGTGGTGGTCGGCGGCGGTTCGGGAGGATGCAGCGTGGCCGCCAAGTTCGCCAAGAAGCTGGGCAAGGGGAAGCTGGCGGTCATCGAGCCGGCCCAGGTGAGCGCCGGTCAAGCCCCGGGACAGGGGGCTGCCGGCTGAGCTCCGGCCCAGGTGAGCCCCGTCTAGGCCCCGGGATACGTGAGCGCCGGCCGAGCCCTGGGACAGGTGAGTGCCGGCCGAGCCCCGGGACATGGGACTGTCGGCGCTATCGAAGCTACTTTCTGTCGGCAGGGCACCTCCAGCGGAGAGTGTGACGCTCTGGAGCACGAACGCCTGTGCACTTCGGAAGGGGAGACATTGACGCAGGTGGAAGATGGCGCCTTCCGTTGTGCGAGATATTTTGCGATAGGTGGTTTTGTCACAGGTGCAAATCCGAATGGCCAGGAAAATCTACATATTCTGATGACAAAGCAAGCACGCTGCTTTGGTTTGTTGCGTCAGACGATTTATGAACCTAGCGTATTTTTAAAATACATTTATGCTCACCGAACCGCATCGATCCATTGCGCTGCTTGCTTTACATATTTTTATCATAACTTCTTCGGTGTGCCGTCGCGGGAAAAATGCATCTGCCGTACATAGTCGGCGCTCTCATTGGTCGGTGCAAGTCTGAAAACGTGGCCGTCATCATTCCGCGAAGCGTTCAGTTCATCGGGGAATGCACCAGCTTTATCCGTGTATTGCGTCAACATGACATTGGACATCCTCAACGTATATTGTGTAAGCCGACAGTGACGTATGACCATTACCAGCATAGGCAAGTAACCACGGTGGTCATGGACCCATGTACCCACTTTTCGTGACGGATAATATTAGCCCTGCGGTGAGAGATCGGAGGATTCGACTGAAAGATGAGGTTTTCCTCCCAAAATGGGAGGACAAAAATGAGAACGTTCGCACGCCCCTAATTCCTACTGATGCAACGCCAGCTCCTTGAACGGCTGGTCTGCGGTCAGCCCGCTGAAAGTCTCTGTGGGACGGAATGTGATCGGTGTGTTGATTACCGAGGTGGGACGGAATGTGATCGGTGTGTTGATTACCGAGGTGGGACGTGCCAAGCGTGCTCGTATCCAGGACAATGCCACTGGTGCTACCAATCACGTCACACATCCTACTCCAGCCCTGATCCCATTGTGCGCCTTGTGGGGGCTATGAACCGACTGTCAGTGTCCGGGCGCGCCCATTGACCCATCTGTCCCCGTGTGGGGCTATGGACTGGCTGTCAGTGTCTGGGCGCGCCCGTTGACCCATCTGTCCCCGTGTGGGGCTATGGACTGGCTGTCAGTGTCTGGGCGCGCCCATTGACCCATCCGTCCCCGTGTGGGGCTATGAACTGACTGTCAGTGTCTGGGCGCGCCCACTGACCCATCCGTCCCCTTGTGGGACTATGAACTGGCTGTCAGTGTCTGGGGCGCCCATTGACCCATCCGTCCCCGTGTGGGGCTATGAACTGGCTGTCAGTGTCTGGGCGCGCCCGGTGGCCTATCTGTGCTGCAATGGCTCGGAGTTCCCCAGTTATTACGCCGCCGACCGGCACGTGCCCGCGAGCCGCTGAAGTCGAGGGCAAACCGCCAGGGCCGGCCGGCTGGGTGGGGGTGGGGAGGGGCCGCACATGAAGCGCGATAGCTGGGCGGCCGCAGATCAGGGGCGCGGCTCAGCCCGTTTCTGGGGATGCGTCGTCATTCCGTGCCGGGTTGCATCAGGACCTGTGCCGCTGTGTGGCAATACCGTCCCTTGAGCCCGGCTCAGGCATGGCTGTGGATGGGGTGGTGCGGGCTCTGACGGCATCATGTTTACGGCGCTCGATTCAGAACAGTGACTGAAGATAGGGCGGTGTTTCAAGTGGTCCGAGATTTTCTGTCGACATGGCCGACGATATCAACGCAAACCGGACTGATATGCCTGGCAGGTGCTTGAATCACGCCAAGGAGAAAGAGTTTCACGATGTCTGTGGGTGTGATCAAACTGGACCTGACCAATTTGTAACTTGTGTGGCGTGTGTGTGTGTGTGTGTGTGTGTGTGTTGTGTGTGTGTGTGTGTGTGTGTGTGTGTGTGTGTGTGGTGTGTGTGTGTGTGTGTGTGTGTGTGTGTGTGTGTGTGTGTGTGTGTGTGTGTGTGTGTGTGTGTGCGTGCGTGCGTGCGTGCGTGCGTGCGTGCGTGCGTGCGTGCGTGCGTGTGCCCCCAAGCTACGCTCGATACTTTTATTCGCTGAACCTTTCAAGAGTAACCTGTGTGGGTGGGCCTCGGCGTGCTGTACCGGCGTGGGGTGGTGGGTGGCCCTCAGCGCGCGTACTGGCGCAGGGTGGTGGGGCGGGCCTCGGCGCGCTGTACCGGCGCGTGAGTGGTGAGTGGCCCTTCGTTCATTTGTTCGGATTGGTTCGGCGGTCTATGGGGCATGTCGTTTGTGCTGCGGAGACTGTACGATTGACCTTGATCTGTAATACTTGTATATACAGTGTCTGTCGTGAGCTGGCAGTTTGCCAACGGCTCGTAGGCATTTACCAGGCTTGGTTGGGCTTGGGTGGTGTCCACGGAAACCCGCGCTGGAATGTTGCTGAGTCACTGCTCTTGGTCTCGCCCTTATACTGCCGGGAACTGCGCGATTACAGCTCATGGAAGCTGAAGCTTCATGAAGATTGCATGAAAGCGGCGATCATGCAGACACGAAAGGCTCGCTTTCGTGTCTGAATTATTGCTGACGCTGCCGAAACATTTTTTGCCGTGCTTTACTCTACCATTCGTTTTGTCACGTCGTTTGCACGTGTGCAGACTGCTCTTATAGTTTGCTTACATGCTGTAGGTCAAATCTCGGGTACCTTCACCGTGTGTTGATCGTTCGCAGACGCACTACTACCAGCCTATGTGGACTCTGGTCGGGGGTGGCATGAAGTCGGCGGAGCAATCCGGCAGACCCATGAAGGACGTGCTGCCCGCGGCAGCCGACTGGATACAGGACCGAGTGGTGGGTGGGCCTCGGCGTGCTGTACCGGCGCGGGAGCGGTGGGTGGGCCTCAGCGCGAGAGTGGCAGGTGTCTCTCGGTGCGCTGTACCGATGCGGGGGGGGGGGGTGCCCCGGCGTGCTGTACCGGCGCGGGGTGGTGGGCGGGCCACGGAGCGCTGTATCGGCGCGGGGTGGTGGGTGGGCCTCGGCGCGAGAGTGGCAGGTGTCTCTCGGTGCGCTGTACCGGCGCGGGGTGGTGGGTGCGCCCCGGCGTGCTGTACCGGCGCGGGGTGGTGGGCGGGCCACGGAGCGCTGTATCGGCGCGGGGTGGTGGGTGGGCCTCGGCGCGTTGTACCGGGGCGGGAGTCAGCGGGGAACTGCTGATACGCGTTGATCCGATTATATGTGAAGCTGAGAATTGCCCTGCTAACTTTGAGTTTACTGACTTTGTCATGCTGCTGCCTTTGACGACGGTTTGATGATTTCGCTCAGAAGCATACACCCGACAGGCATCTTTAGCGCTGGATCTAGAAGATTTTGTCTTGCCTTTGCAAGAGGTTGTAGCTGTGGCAGGGAGAATGCATCCAACGCTCACATGCATGCGTGCCATGTTCGTTATCTACAGGTGTAGCTTCACCAACCACCTGTGCTCGAAGATAACGATGACCGTGATCGAACCCTGCCCACTCGGTGCGTGGTCTTATCTTGAACCAGCGCCCCAATCACCGGCATTTTCCGGGGCTTCCACGTGTCGTTGGACCCGGGTCCAGTGTCGTTTGATGCGAACTCTAACAAGGTGTCACTTTACCCGCCCAGGTCTCGTTTGACCCGAGCTCCAACAAAGTGACCACCAGCTCGGGCGACGAGATCAGTTATGAGTACTTGGTGGTGGCCATGGGCATCCAGATCAACTGGGACGGGGTAAGTGTGATGGGTGCACCGCAGCAAACTGAGACGGGGCGAGTGTAATGGGCGCACTGCAGCAAACTGGGACGGGGCGAGTGTAATGGGCCCACTGCAGCAAACTGGGACGGGTCGAGTGTGATGGGCGCACTGCAGCAAACTGGGACGGGGCGAGTGTGATGGGCGCACTGCAGCAAACTGAGACGGGGCGAGTGTGATGGGCGCACTGCAGCAAACTGGGACGGGTCGAGTGTGATGGGCGCACTGCAGCAAACTGGGTTAAACGCATGCTGTGTCGTAGAATAGCTGGGTGTTTTTTACAGTGGAGGCCACGGAGGACGCAGATCCGCAGTACAGTACCGTGTCATGGAGGACGCAGGTCGTCGGTACAATACGATGCCACAGAGGACGCAGGTCGTCTGTATAATATGCAAGATCGAACGATGCATAGGGTGACCGAAGCCCGGCGCACGTATTGGGGCTTTGGTGTGCTTGCTCCGCTATATGGAGATTGTCATATCGGTCGCAATAGTATTACTTCGACTTATCCCTCAGATTATGTCTGACTGCTCGACACATTGTTGAAGAGAATGGTTTTTTGAGAGCTTAAACTTTTTTGCGCACTGGGAGCGGGAAATTCTGACCCAAAAACTGCTGCCGGTGCCAACAAACGACGAACGTTGAAAAGCTCGCCAGTTTTTGTGCTTGATTTTCGGTCGTAACAGCAAAGACTAGAACGATGATGATTGAAGTGTTACCAGATAGTACGGCCCATTGAGCCTATGTGAAAAGAAACAACTGTAGGACTGTCACTGTGCGCAAAGTCTTCCTAGTACAGAGAAAGGTCGGACAAGAATCATGAGAATAATCCATAAATTTCCATACGGCTAACTAAAAAACTATTCCACATATTTAACACGCTTTCGGATGGGGCGGGGGGGGCACTTTAACCCCCTGGAGGTTATTCCGAACCAATTTTCGAACGGTGCAGCGTAGCCACGCCAATTTTTGGACAGCTGCAGATAATTGAATAGCGGAGCTTTTGGTCAAATGTCTAGCTTACCTTGTTAGAAGTTTGCTGACCTATGACATGCCAAATTCAAGCCATGGTTTTAGGGCAGGCAATTGATAGGGAATCATGAATCTGATGCCACAAAGGGCATTCAACGAAGCTGTACATCTCTAAGATAATTTTGTAGGCAACACAACAATTAACTTAAAAATTTCATTGACCTAGGGTCATGTATGGAGGTCAGACCAAGGTCAGAAAAAATGTGTTTTTTTACCCGTGGGCTTGCTGTAGGGGGCAATTTCTGATGTTCCTTTTAAATCTATTAATGACGGGAACCGCACCATACATATTTCATTGACTTCTTAGAGGTCAGAAAAGGTCACTGACCTAAAATGACCAAGGTCAACATTTTGTGTTTAGGAGCATGCTGCCTAGCGTATTTCTCGACGATTAGTCAACTGCAAAATCAAAGCACTCTTTTGTGATTTTTGATCCTCATGATCTTTTTAAGGTCAAAAAGGTCACTGTCCTTAAGGTAACACCGGTAACCTTTTGCTTAGTACAGGTATCTAGGTTCACGGTGGTTACATGAGAATATCTGGGGGCACTTTAGACACCAATTTTTAATTTGACCTTGCTTGACCTTATTTGAAGTTAATGTGTTGAAGGAATGTGTTAAAGAAACGTGTTTAAGGGAATTTTTCACATCTGAAGATAACGAAGCAACCATCAGATATGATGAATCAAGGTCACATATAGCTATCGGTATACGTTTCAAGTGGAAAAACTGCTCTATACAGCACAGTTCTCTGTTTAGTAAATACGTTCCTCAATGAGTCATGGTTTGGTTGCGTCATTGTATCTTGCACAACATTGATCGAGAGCCAATTGACGGCTGTTTTATCTGGAAATCGCGCTCGCGAACGCCAGATGTGAACGCCTCGATCATTATCCTTTTCTCGGCCTCGATCGCCGCGTGACTTATGGAATGACATTCAAATCCTGCCACTCCGTTTGACATGCGGCGATCAAGGCCGAGGCAAATGTAGTTGTTAAAAATAACGACGATAACGATATAGTAGAAGAAATTATGCTGTCTGGAGCAATATTGTGAACCCTTAAATATATACATCACATAACTGAGCTATTTCATCCTATCTGGTGCTTGCTTCAATTTCTTTAAATGTGGAACATTCCCATTAACTCAGAAACTACTTTGGGACAGGGCCCAATCACTTAGCATTAAAACTAAACAGCTCTAGGGTATCTGAGCAATGTGCGTGTGCACATGAAACCAAAAAACTGTGTTCACCGTGCTTCAAGCCCGTAAAGGTCATTATTCCAACATGTTTCTTTTATGGCAGCGCGCGGTGAACGGAGCACCGTGTTTCAGATCAAAGGGCTGAAGGAGGCGCTGGACACGCCCGGCGTCTGCTCAAATTACTCCCCCAAATACGCTGAGAAGACGTATAAGGAGCTGCAGGCATTTAAAGAGGGGAATGCTATCTTCACTTTCCCCAACACGCCAATCAAGTGTCCCGGAGCACCGCAGAAGATCATGTACATCGCTGATCAGTACTTCAGGAAGGTGAGATTACACTTGCGGGCGTCGTTTCCTCAATAGCAGCCGGACGCTGTGTGCACTTTTCCGACTCTTGATTATTCTTGGGTATTTGGAGAAAGCAGTTTTGTACATGACTGATAATGTTGCCAGCATAGTGTGCCGTTGTCCTTCTGTGATAAAAGTATTCTGGCTTCGAATTCGGTATTATCTTTGTATCATTTAAACCATGGGCAGGTGCTGGCCTGCGCGGACAAAGGCTGCAACGGTTAGGATATCTGCCAAGTTATGCACCGCTTCCTGCTACACTGTTTACAGTGCCCAGTTTCAGGGGCACGTGAATGCGAAGGTCGTGCAGTCGACTAATCGCTGTTTAGAACAGAGTTACTGTCCCAGGAACGTTGGTTAGCAACTGCACATCTAAAACATTTTTCTGGCAAACACGGCTGCCTAGAGTGGGGTATCAATTTTGGCGCTCCATGTGACAGCTGCCGTGCGTATGGCAGCGTATAATAACTTACTCGTCGTGTACGGTTTTGCACACACTCTCTCGCATTTCGGGAAGCAGTGGATGAGGATGGAAGGCTGGAATTTGCAGAGATGTTTTACGGGTCGCGTCAGCTCAACGCTGTGCCCAACTCGCGCTTATGCTGGTAGTCGGCAGGAATGTTAGTAGTGTCGTCGTTTGAAGAGCTGCGTCTTAATGCAGGGTGCAGTGAACTAAAAGGTGGCGTCTTCATAGCGTGGCGGTGGTGGCTTTCACGTTAATATCAAAACTTTGCTTAACGGCTTTATAGCACTTTCAGTTGTGTTATTGTGAGCCCGAAAACGCCAAATCTTCATCATCGGTTATAGGTGTATCTGAGCTTTTCATCACTATAATCATTTTAAGTACTTTCAAAGTCCCTAATCACATTCGACGTCAGAGAGGACTTCTAGCCATGTTTGCCGGGATGCGCCGTACCAGAAATGGAAAGCTGCTACTCCAATAGGTTTTGCAAAGCTGGAAATAGTAAGCGACCAATAGGAACTACCCATGTTGCAAGTGTGAAACACTCAGTCACAGTGAAACAAAATGTTGTCAAACGCAGAGCTCCATTCTGAAATAATTCACCTGCTGACAAACAGGGGTAAGGTTGCCCAAGGCCAACGAACCTTTCTTATCACGTACGCACTGTGTAGCGCCGGACCGGGCCACTTTCTCGCTGTTTTTAGTTGGCATGATATTTGTTACCTCGAATCCGATAGCGCAGTCTAACTGTGATGTTATGCAAGTTCAAGCCAACCAGCCTTGACACCGCCTTGCGTGCTGAATATTGCACCCGCAGCGCGCGCAGCCCTGCTTGCAGGGAAGTAGCGGACTCGCTCTGCGACGCGCTCGGCTCTGTCTCCCTCGGACGGGGAAGTGGCGGATCCGCTCTGCGACACGCTCGGCTCTGTCTCCCTCGGACGGGGAAGTGGCGGATCCGCTCTGCGACACGCTCGGCTCTGTCTCCCTCGGACGGGGAAGTGGCGGATCCGCTCTGCGACACGCTCGGCTCTGTCTCCCTCTGACGAGGAAGTGGCGGATCCGCTCTGCGACACGCTCGGCTCTGTCTCCCTCGGACGGGGAAGTAGCGGATCCGCTCTGCGACACGCTCGGCTCTGTCTCCCTCGGACGGGGAAGTAGCGGATCCGCTCTGCGACACGCTCGGCTCTGTCTCCCTCGGACGGGGAAGTAGCGGATCCGCCCCGCGACACGCTCGGCTCTGTCTCCCTCGGACGGGGAAGTAGCGGATCCGCCCTCGACACGCTCGGCTCTGTCTCCCCCAGACGGGGATGTAGCGGATCCGCCCTCGACACGCTCGGCTCTGTCTCCCCCAGACGGGGATGTAGCGGATCCGCCCTCGACACGCTCGGCTCTGTCTCCCCCAGACGGGGATGTAGCGGATCCGCCCTCGACACGCTCAGCTCTGTCTCCCCCAGACGGGGATGTAGCGGATCCGCCCTCGACACGCTCGGCTCTGTCTCCCTCAGACGGGGAAGCAGCGGATCCGCTGTGCGACACGCTCGGTTCTGTCTCCCTCAGACGGGGAAGCGCGACAAGGCCAACATCATCTACAACACCTCCCTGCCGGTGCTATTCGGCGTGAAGAAGTACGCCGACGCGCTGTGGGAGGTGGTGAAGAAACGTGACATCACGGTCAACACGCGCCGCTGTCTGACGGAGGTGCGGCCCGACA